TTCTTTTCTCATCTCATCATATGACAATTAGGTTCTTTTAAGTATGCAAATTACAATGCTGCCACTACAAATGTAACTTAAAAGTCGAAATTATGACATAAAAGTCCTACTTATAAGATGAAAAGTCGAAATTATGACATACTAAGTCATATTTATGAGATTAAAAATTTAAATTATGGCATAAAAAGTAATATTTATGAGATGAGTCAAATGTATCATATTTATGAGAAGAAGTCAACATAAGTTGACTTTTCATGACAATTTTGACTGTCTATGTCATAATTAGGAATTAAAAATTGAAGGCAGCAGTTATTATTATTATTATTATTATTTTAAGTAAATCTTTTGTAACATTATAAATGTCTTACCACTTTTGATCAATTTAATGCATCCTTGCTTAAAAAAAACCCTTTCAATGGTAGTACATATGTGTAATATGATGTTTATCTGATTATACTGTTGATTACCACAGAAAATAATCTCAGCTCGTCCCTTAGTTTGCAAAATAAACACGAATGGTGTTGACAGTAATGCTCTTATAATGGAAGTCTACAGGGCAAGATATTCTGAAGTGATTAAAGAAGAAATGTGACTCTCATAATTTTGTCAAAGAATTTATAATAATTTTACAAATGTGTGTTATTTCAGCTCCAAAGTGTCTAAATCATCATTTTAGTGGTTCAGCTACTGTTCTAAGATCACCACTGCTGTATTTTTCTCCACGTAAACAGTCTCTGGTATCTTTACAGCTCAGCCAACAAAAATCTGTTCCCAAAACGTTATTTCTGAATGTCCTCAGAATGTTGAAAACATCTTACAATGAAAATGTTCTAAAAAGTTTTTTTTTCTTGGTTATACAAATGTTCAGGGAACATTCCATTTGATAATTTTGCAAACATTATGGGAATGTTACTTTTCATGTTATGTTTCAGAAAAACGTTACATGCACAATGTATAAATAATGTTTTTGTGCTAACTTTTTGAGAACACTATTAAAGACCAGATAACTATGAATGAAAATTATTTTAAGAACGTTTGTTCGTAACATTGAGAGAATGAGGGCTTGACATCATCATAACAGAGACTGAAGCATCAATATATGCTTGTGGCTCCACTGTATTTTTTCTTTTCTGCTGCTGTGTCAATTTAAGTGCATTACAAAATTGACAGACTGGGAGACGATTGCAAATCTGTCACAGATTCTGCACAGAGCTCGACTCCTTTAATTCTCTCTGGTGTATCAGACTGTCTTCCAGCGAAGAGTGGCGTGCTTTCTGAGTAAAGGTGGACTGAATTTGATCTGTGACTACTGAAATGAGCGCAAACTATTTTTTCAGATTTTAAAGAAAGAGTACAAATTATTATTATTTTTATATATGAAGCTCATTTTAGCCAGACTAGTCAGCAGGTCCTTCATCAAAGCTCAGATGGTTGTGAATGCCGCCCTGGCATCATAAAATATCTCCTAAATGCTTTACAGACGGAGAGTAAATAATCGGGTTACTATTCATTTGCTGTGAAGACTCGAGGCTTGTGTGTGTGTGTTGGTGTCCTCGGGATCTGATGTGATTTACTTACAGATTCAGCTGTTGTCAAATCAATCCAAGTGTTTGCTTCCTCTTGCAGCGTCGGTGAAATCTCCTCCAGCATGATTTAGTGGCTCTACAGGGATGCACACACACATGATTGACCCTTCAACAACATGAGAAGACATCACGTCCGGGTGACAAGGCTTGATTTTATCCATCAGGATGAAAGCATATAAAGTTGATGTGATAGTTAGGATGAGTTCATATTTAGTGTTTGGGGTTTGTTGAAATCCCTTGTGATATTTGCCCATTAATAATATGGATGGTCGAACATTCTTATTTATATTAAAAATAATCTTTTCCTAATCTCTGCCTAATCTTAAAAGGAGACAACAAAAACAGACACTTTACCCATTTATATTAAAATATATAAATTATTAAAAATTGTTTTTTTCTAGTGCTTAATTTAAAATACATCAAAATAGGTAATTCACCCATCTTTGTCTAGTACTTAATCCTAAAATTAAACATCAAACAACATAAAAAATAAAGTATTTCTTCTCTAATATTTCATTTTAAAAACATTGACCTATTTATATAAAAATACATAAATTATTACAAAATTATTTGGTATGTTTTTTCTAGAATTTAATCTTAAAGACATCAAAACACTGAAATTGTACCTATTTATATATAAAATATAAATGATTAAAAATTATACATGAATTTTTCTAGTACTTAATTTAAAAAACTAATTTCAACTTCAAAGAGAATTTACCTATTTATATTAAAATATATAAATTGTTATAGAATTATTAAGCAATTTTTGTCTAGTGCTTGATCTTAAAATTAAACATGAAAATAAAAAAGTTAATTTTAAAAGAACTGACCTATATTAATATATATATATGATATTACAAAATTATAACTAATATTTTTAGTACTTAATTTAGAAGACATCAATGTACCTATTTATATCAAAATATATATTTTTTTAATAATACAATTATATGATATATGATACTGAAAAAAATGCAATTTATTGTGCATTTATTTATGAAAAGATGTGGATTTGTTTGGACGTGGTTTGCAACACTTACAGTAGAGCAGAATGATTCATATGACGATCCAAACATCACCTGATGTTCACTGTTCACAAAAACACATCTATGCCAAGACACATGAAAAAGACAAAAAGGCCAAAGACAAAATGTTTATTCACTGTCAGTCTGCTACTGCAGCTCTTCCTGAAACACTGGCAGTGTCAAATAAGGCAAAGGGCGTATAGATCATATGGATTTGTACAGTTTTGCACCAACAACAGTTATACATTCACCAGTTACTGTATGTGTGATATCATATAGATCTATATATATTTATATATACTGTATATATTTATAAACGTATTCTTAAAGAAGTGTGAGGGACGCAGGTAACAGAAGAAACACTAACGGTTTTAAAGCTGGTTCAGTCTTTACTGTGAAACACACCATCTTACGTCTTCATATGACATAAATCTACTCTCTGTGATCTCTAATAAAATAAAATAAAATAAAATAAAAATATATTATGCTCATCATATATAGCTCTTAAACTGTGTATTTTGCATTAGATAAATAAAATCTGTTCAGTTCTATAGTCATTTAATGTGCTGTGTTTGGAAATAAACTCACGTACAAGACCAGCGTAGTGTTAGAAACACACACACACACACACACACACACACACATACATCCTAGTCTAATAAACATCGTTTAAGGATCTAATGCACAGATTGTTTCATACTCACAAACCCAACAGACAGTCGGTGACTTCAGAGATGAATTTGCACAAAAGCATCGATCACATCTAAAGCCGTTTTACAAATACATAGAAAAATATAATCCTCTGAATGCCCTTTTTACAATTTTTGATAGATTATAGAATTATCTGAAAATATCAGTGTAGTTAGTGGTGGAGGATCGAGTGTGTTTGCTAAAGGGAAGTGAGTAATCTTCTTAATATATATATAATAGGAGAAAACCCTTTCAAAAATACCATGGTATTCAGTGATCAAGATTACTACATTCATGTACTATAGTACTTATATTGTATACTTTATAGTGGTGTTGTTTTACCATAGTCACATACTATAGTATTTACAAAAAAAGTATCATGGTACTGCCATGGTTTTGTATACATGTGCTGTGCGATTGCAGTACCATGGTATTCTTGGAAGTACTCTGAAATACCATAGTACACCATGGTATGTTTAAAATACCATAGCATTATCATTCACTGCTCCACAGTTGTACTAACTTTTTGCAAAGAGTACCTTGCTAACATAATAATACCATGGTATTTTTTGTAAGAGATGAAAGCTATAACATAAGAGGGTCATTTTACGCTCACAAATGTTGCCCTTTTCTACAGTTATGGTGTGAATACAGTTTTTCGACCAGTGTAACGTAACAGGCATGACACAACAAAGCAACAAGTTTCTTAATCTGAGTTTCTGTCCTAAACTGAGATATTTTGTCATTCATCTGGTTACTGGTATAGCCCCGCCCACACTGACATCTCATTGGTCCAAAATCCCACCTCATAGACTTCCATTCAAGAGTTTGGGGTTGGTGAGAATTTTGAATGTTTTTGAAAGAAGACTCTACCGTTCACCAAAGCTACATTTATTTGATAAAAAATACAGTAGAAATTGTGAAATATTATTATAATCTAAAATAAATGGTTTCTATGTAAATATATGTTAAAACGTAATTTATTTCTGTGATGCGCAGCTGAATTTTCAGCATCATTACTCCAGTCTTCATTGTCACATGATCTTCAGAAATCATTCTAATATACTGATTTGCTGCTCAAGAAACATTTCTGATTATTATCAATGTTGATAAAAGAAAAAGAAAAAATGTAATTAATCTCCCAAATTTAAAATTAATTAAAAATTAACTATAAATATGTATTTCTTATTATTTCTTATTATCAATAATATTTCTTATTATCAATTATATATATAT